CTACGAGCCATATATGAGAGACCATGTGATTTTTGTCTTTCTGAGTTTGAGTCACCTTGCTCACTCTTATACTTTCTAGAATGCATTAGGTGATTTTAAAAATCACTATTTTCTCCTTTCCCAAATTGAGAGAACTAAAAGTAACACTGGATCCCAGTCTTTCTTCAACCTGACATGATGCTCTCATTCTTACTACTGATCATCTCAGTCCATGCCTGGTACTCTTTCCTCTCCAATATACAGTGAGTGTGGAGGTGATGAAGGGGATGGTAGTTTACATGGACTTTGGAGCTCCAGATACAAGCAAGCCAGTTAATTTGTCTGATCTTGTTTTTTGTCTATGATATGGGCCCCTGACCACTAGACTTCCCTTTGATAATAGTCTTACCAAAAGGTTTTCCAAGGGATTAATTACTTAGCCTCATTAAATGTTCTTAAGCCCCAGTCCGGAGAAGACTAGTTGTTGCTATGTTGTGGCCATAGCTCAAGGGAGAGGTATTGATAGCTTGAATGATACATCCATAAAATGGAGTGATGTATTCAGGAGGCCACCCAGTAGAAGTGGCAAAATTGTGTGACTGTCTAGATGTGGTGTTCGAGGAAGTAGGGGAAAAGGATTCTTAGCTCTGTCTGCATGAGGCTAGCAGCCTGGTTGACTGAATGTGGGGCCACCTGTTCCATGTTCCTCACTGACAACAAAAGATTTAAGAACTATTTTTCTAAACAGAAACAAATGTGGTCTATATTAATTTTTAAATAGTAATGACTGTTAGAGGAACTGCAAACTCACTGACTAAGCTATTGTTTTCTTTTCATTACACAGAATTCCAATGTCTTTCCATCCTCCCCTCCCTCTGGACTCTCTGATGAGCCCCAGTCTGCCTCTCCCTCACCCAGCTACATGTGGTCCTCGAGTGCACCACCCCGTTACTCTCCACCCTACTATCCGCCTTTTGAAAAGCCACCACCTTACAGTCCTTAAAGAATACCTGCTGGGTATTGAGATTATTGTGGCTTTTGTATTTCTGCTTTCGTGGAAGTGTGTAGGGTACATCTAACTTGTGACTTTTATGCATAAAGTTTTACAACCGCTTGCCAGGCTATGAGAAGTTAGGGATGAAACTTACTCATTATTGGGGAAGGGCAGGGCTGGCTAGGCCAAACCCAGCACTTCCAAGAAGGGGCAATTCACACTGTAAGCAAGGCTGGGGAGCCAATCCAGCTAGAAGCTTGTCACATTTAGATTCGCATTTCCCTATGCTCCACCTCTATACAGTACAAATGTGGTTGTCATCTGCTTCACTTTATGTAAGAGTGTTATCCTCCAGCCCTTGGCAGATGGCCACCCTAGCACCTTGGTTCAATCACCTAGTATTATAGGCTCTATCTTTCCCTACCATTAATGCCAATCCTTTCCTAGCTGACAGGGCTACACAGTACTTCTGATACAGAGAATTCTGGCTAAGATTTTCATTTGCTTGTGTTGGATGTTGAAAAAAGGTGCCCATACCTTTACTCCTTCCTTCTCTGAGTTTTGTAAAAATGGCTGTTGTGATCATTCAGCTCAGCTTTTGTTATTGGTACCTCCCAAGGGAAAAGTGCAATAGTCCCTCATCCTGAGTGGTGGGAGAACAGAACTGGTTGTTCCAGAAGCACTGAAATACACAGCAACAAGAGTGCTGTTTTCAGTAGATTTCAGCAATACATCTGACAACTTAGGAGACAGTGGTTTTACTACATGTTGCATTGTTACAAAACACATTTGCTACAGTTGAAATTCAGACTTAGATTAGATTGGGTCATGAATGAATGATTACTATCTTTGTGATAATTTAACCTTCAAATATTGTGCTTTAACCCTAGCAAATCGCACGGATTCTGCACCCTATACCCAAACAATCATCTGTACTTTAATGTCACTGAGCTTATTTGTCCCTTTTTTTTTTCTGTTGAGACCAACCATGACAGCATTCAATTCAAGATTATGAAAGTGTTACAATACCATTTCAAGTCTGGAAGACCCCAAATACAGCCAACTTGAAAAATTCTTAAGTGTTTCAGATTTAAAACCCATCTGGCACATTGTGGTAGTTACACAGTTGCTTTAATTATACATAGCTTTAAACCATCAACCTGATGAGTTCAAAACACCTATGCCTTCACTTCAGAATGAACACTTTCATTTGGGATCTTATGTTAACCAGAGAATTGGTTTAAAGATTGATAATCCTACACTTGTATAATGTAAAAGTACAGGGGCTACAGGAAGATACCTAATTAGACAGTTGCAAATACAGAACACACACTGGAAAAATTTCCAGCCGATTTCGCTACCTCCCAATTTGATGGATTAGAGGTAGCAGACAAATGCTGGTGCTCCCATCTACCTTGTAGACACCTGGTCATACAGAATCATCAAGGCACAACCAGTGCACTCACTGTTCACAGTAAATGTTTTCAAAATATTCAGTTTACCCTTCAGCGTCATGAATGTTGTCTTCAGATTTCAAACCCGAAAAACTACAATCCTTTTGTGTTATACAAAATTATTGTTATTTTGTACAGTTCTGAACATATTAAAATTCTATTGGATTTCAAAAAAGGACTGATAATCAATTGAATTATACAAATACCAACTTGTAATATTTAATAACTTTTTGGCATTTACACTTTACACCTTTTGCTTTAGTGAATGTGTATATTTTTTAAAGGCACCATTACACAGTATATCTACAATTATCACATTTCTTAAAGTGTTAAGATTCTATGACTCATTTCTATGTATTTTTCTTACTTTACAAAATAACTTGAAACAGTATAGATTTTGTAACACTTAATTTGAGCAGCTTCTTTTTTTATTACATCAAATTATATAAAGTGCATGTTACCTTAGGAAAAATTAATATTTGCTGCTTTACTCTTTTGCAAAACATTTGCTGTAATGGAGGAATTTGTATTTCCAATGTATCTTGACTGCATTTTATAATATTTACTGCTTTCTTCCTAATTTTGCTTTAAAGTATTGAACTGGGCATGAAGTATTAAAGTATTAATCCAGACCTGTATAAACTGGATGTTGCTTAAAGTCTGTATCACTGCCATGTTGGAAACCCAGACGGCTTTTGTGATGTTTCAAATTAATAAAACTATCCTTCTCCCTATGTACGTACAGGCATTCTCTTGGTATGTACAAAAGTATAGCATGTACTCTAAACCAACTGGTAGCTGCCAACTCACTTTTGACTTTGATGGTTCAAGAAACACTGGGGCACAATTAACCAATACACAGAACCTAATGAGAATTTCTGCCATGCTATCATCAGAAACAGCTACTGTCCTGTTATGAAAAAAAAAATAGAATAGGATATAAAGCCTATGTGATTTGGTAACAATAATTTGTAAAAAATGCACTCAAAATTAGAATTAACACATTTTATTTTGCCATAAGAAAACTCTACGAACTAATATCAGGTAATGGTTAATGAAAAGCAGAACTTAAAAGTCATGACAAGGAAGATTGTACAAGTATAAGCATTACAATATTTGGGGGAAACAATTAAGTTTTCATAAAACTGAATGAGGGAAGGAAGCCAGTGCTGCTGAATTTGCATTTAATGTCCTGTAATAAGCATGCCACAAAATGCCTTGCTCAATGTTCACCATTTGTTTTCTCTTTTTAGTACAGTGGAACAAATTCTTCATTGGTTCCACGTAGGGGGATAGTTACTATCAAAATGATAACAACTTAAAATATTTTAGTTAATCCTGCCAAGACTTCTATGGCATTTAAAAATGTTTGTTTAGTTCGAACATTTTAATCCTGTCATTTATTTTAACAAATTGACTATTTCAAAATTTTTCTATCTACAATATTTACATGTAATTTAGCATTAGAGCAAATTTGAAGCCAACTTGAAAGGGGAAAAAAGTAACTCAACAGCCAGAAAGCTAAATAAAAATAGAAAAAGCTCACAATAAGTTTTATATAGTAGCTTGCTACAAATTTTTAATCCGATAAAGATTGGGCATAAAGAGTTTTTATCCAAAGGCATATTCCATGTGAACTCTGAACTTTGGATATACAAACTTATAGAAAAACTGAAGACCCTGAGACACATGCAAGTAGAGTCTTCCTGGCAAAATTACATTTTAATTTCCAGTTTTCCTCCTCCCCCAAACTCCAGAAGACATCTTCAGTAGACACAAAGTTTTAAACTTCAAATTCAAATTTACATGGAGCACAGCAGCAGCGACAAGTAATTCTATCAATGCTATTCAGAATGGCTAGTTTTCCATTATAGAATTCCCAGTTTGTCATAAGTTTCTAGAATTTTCATTACAACAAATTGCCCTAGCAGTTGAGACAAACATCCTGAGGCTCTGCTGGCATCACTATCATTCACACTGGCAGAAGTATTTATGTCTAACTGGTGAAATGGCATTAATGAAGCTCAAACTAATTTCCACTGAGAACATTTTAGAGTGCACCCTATAGTCAAAGAATGTCGTCAACACCCATAGGGAAAGGAAACAAGATATCGTGATTGCAGACATTGGAGTCTAGAGTTATAAGGTGACCTCAAATTTTCCAAGGGTTAGTTTATAAAATGGTTTGAAGGTCTAGGCTTACAGAATAGAAAACACAGATGTTGTCAGAAAACATCAATCTACCTCTTGGTAAGCAAAAAGTATTATTTGTCTTTGTATTATTGCAAATAATGATGCCTGACAGCCTTAAGACACTGAAACCTTGCCCTTCAAATCTAGTTTACCATCTGAAGAATCACATATACATGAGAATTATGATTAAAGCTTCAAGTTCACAGTAAAAAAATAGACAATTAAAATACACAGAAAGGAGAATGAAAATACTTATGCTGAACTAAGAAATATTTAAGCAAGGTTACAAATGACTACTAGCTATGAGGCAACAGTAGTTTTCAGTATCTATTATTTTTCTCCCATTGCAAAAAAAATCACAGAAGTGTGTTAATTCTGTTATAAATGCTAGGCTACATATTTGCTCCAACCTGCTTCCTTTTATTACTAGCACTTGGGTAAGTTTTAAATTCTTCTAAATGTTTAAATATGTATCATCTTAAAGATGAAAGGTTAGGTATTGTTGAAATAAATGGGAATTGACACACTTGCAGTATTCCACATGCAGTTTCTCACTGCTATAATAAAGTAGAGGTGGAATGGAACACACATGAATGGAACTTAAATTAAGGGGTTAAAAGCCTAAAAGATCTTGTTGAAAGGAAAACACTAGATTGACACTTAAACTACTTGAAATGAAATCTTCCTATTGGAGCATTCTAATAAGAACATTTTAAAATATATGCCAGTAGCCTCCCACCTAAAATACACATGAAACTCATTTATGGAATCTTATCATTTACCAACATTATATATAAAGATGCATTTGGTGGCTTTCAGGTTATAATTTGTAACATTTCATAGGAACACTTTTTAACCATAATGACCAAAAAGGAAATACTCATTCAACTCAATTGCTTCTATCACGTAAGAGCAGAGAATTAAAAGCTAAGTGCAAAAGAACTCTGCATCACCTCCTGTCCAGATTATAAATGGTTGCCTTTTTTTTTTTTTTTTTTTTTCTTTTAAAGAATATGGCAATAAAAGCAACGATTAATGATTAATTCTAATTAGCTAAAACTAACTCATTCTTCATAGGAGACTTATTTGCATGGCTATTTTCATGGAGGGAGGCAGGAGGTTGCTACCCATTTGGACTAGCAGAATAAACAACCAGGTAGGACTTATTCTGAAATTTACTAGAACAATTTTTGGAAGTTCTTTACTTTTTATGCCATATACAAGACACAACACATAGTCTTAATGTTAAGAAAATGGAAAATTCATCAATAAAGTGCTAACATGGAAGGGGAAAGTTATAAGCTGTACTAGGGTATATTAGTAACTCTAGTAGCTCCAGTAATTCTCAAAGAACATTCAGACTGCTTCAAATACTATTCAGAAAACTATCTTTCTGCATCTTTTAATTTTCAACTCTTTTAAATGAGCTAAAAGCTAACTATACAATCATATACTGGGAGGGGGCTTTCCAATCTCTACTTTTTCGAAAATTGCTTCTAAAGATTATCAACAATCCAACTAGACTACTTTCAGATGATGTAGCAGATCAAATTAACTTTTCACTTGTTTCACAGGTCTTCTGAAATCACTGCCCCTTAACCCAACCCAAGCTTCGTGATATTTCAAAGGAGTTCAGTAAGATTCTGGTATTATAAACTCAAACTCAGTACTGCCATCTGTTACATTCTGCTTAAAAATGGAATCATTTTCTTGCCGAATAAAAATACCTTCCCAGGACATTGGCTTGTTTTGAGGAGTGGATGTAGTCCCTGCTGGAGGCTCTTTTCCAGCATCAACCTTATATCCGATAGCATCATCCTTCATGACAGGCACAGTGCCTGACCTATCAGAAAGGTATGCATACTGTCTGATCTGTAAAGACTTGCATGGATGTAAACGATAGAGCTTTGAGTCCCCAGAAGGATCTTGACTATGAACTGACTTTATGTGTGAAGACATAAATTGATAGTTGATGAAAGATTTGCCACAAGCCAAACACTGATACCTTCGCTCCCCTGTGTGATGAATTTCATGCTTTGTGCGATATTCTGCAAGAGGAAATACCTTCTCACAATAACGACATGGATACTTCTTCTCCCAAGAATGAATGTTAAAATGTCTTCGCAAGCTTGTCAGACAGACATACGACCTTTTACATACAATGCAGATATAATAGACCCTTCCATCTACTATTAACTCATAGTGATCGTCATGCTTTACTTTCATACGTTTGTTTGGTGGCTCACTGCCAGATGTCTTTGGTAGCTCATTCTCAAGTTTGGTCTCCCCTTCATCAGGGTCATCTTTGACAGGGATCACTATGTCATAAGTATCTTCACCAATATTTGCATACACTTTGCAACCAGTTGACAAGCCTTCAATTTCTGTAGCTGTATCTAAAGTGATGATTTTCTGACCCTCCATTAGATGCTTTGATCGTAAGCCTGGATCATTAGTGTTTCTAGTAATTATACCTGAAATTTTTAAAGAATTAGAAAGTGGCTCCTGCAGAAGTGTCGGAATCTGCATCTTCTGGGTTAATGATCCATCAATAGTGGTATTTTGGGAGGTATCAGCTTGTGGGACCAAAGATGTATTACTGACTGCTGAGTCTGGGCTGGAGTTAATAGTGTCATCATCATCATCTATAATTTCTTCCTCCTCTTCTTCATTGGCCTTTTTTCTTGTTAAAACAGAGCTGTTTGGTGTCTGCTGATTCTGCACAAGTAAATTGATTGAAGAGGACATATTATTTGGAAGTGAAGAGCTGACATTTGGTGGCGTAGTAAGTGGAGCCTGATTTAACAAAATAATGTTAGGAGTCAGATGTGTTGGAGCTGAAGACACCAGCAATTTTTCACTTCCTTGTGTTTGGCTCAGAGTTGCCTGATTTGCAGGAGTAGGAAGCTTCTGAGTAGGTGTGATATTTGTTAAAGGGGGAGAGTTATTGCTAGCACAAGGTGCCACTTCAGAAATAGCAACAGGGGCTGGGTTTGGCTCGACCTGTGTCACTGTGTTGTTACTCGGCAAAGTCTCCTTTGCAGGCAAAACCTCAGAGCAGAAAATGACATCATCATCATCATCATCTGAATCAGTAACAATGATCTTTTTCATTTCATAATCTTCAGCAGATAATGAAAAAGACTCTGTTATAATGGGCATTATAGGAGCCCCATTATCTTGGGCTTCATCTTTTGATTTTTGTATTTCAAGGTTTTTGTCATTAGAACCAGGAGATGAAGTTTCAGCATTACCATCCTGCACTGTACCTGAGATGCTTTTAACCTGTGACAGTGGGACACCAAGCTCTGCTATGAATTTCACTCCTAGTAACTGCCCTGATTTAATTAACTCGTCAAGTAAATCTGCTCTAACACGTACAATTTTAGAACTATAGATATAATTCAGAATTTCTGCAAAAATCTCTGCTCTTATAAAACTCAGTTCAAAAACTTGCCCAGCAATTGAGAACAGCTGATGGAAGTATGTACTTGAAGCAGAAAGAATGTTCTTATGAGCTCGAAATTTTCGGTCTTCCACAATAACAGTAACATCACAAAAGAGTCCATGGCCACGCTGCTCATTCAAGGAGTTCAGCAGACTGCCTGAGTATTGAATGTCTGTAGCAGAAATCAGTTTTCTACTCTCCATGCCTATGAGAGAAAGAGAGGAGGGGAAAACGGAAGATTAGGGAGGAAAAAAAACAAAAGTACTTTATTTTCCAGAATTTAAGCCACAGAAACTTTAGTTTACTTAAATTCTAATCCAGTTTTGGCCCAACTCTGACTTTCATATAAATTGCTCAAATATGCTAGCTTTGGACCATGTCCCAAACCTTTTAACTTCCTCGGAGAAAAGTCAAGCAAGTTTTAATTGCCATGCAGAGCTGAACAATAATCTCCCTAGTTGCCTTCCTTTGAAATTCAGAAATACGCATTTTCACTAATCACCTTTAAAAATAATTCACTTTCTTCCTTCTAATTTTAGGTTTTTCCCTCAAGAGTTAAGGATTAATTTTGAACTAAGTTGTTTTTAAGAAAAATCTTCATCATAAAGCATACAAATTATTTCTTCTGTAAATGAAAGAGTTAAATGTCAGAACAGCTTGGTGTGTTTGACACTAAGTCTGCAATATCCACTCTCCTTAATTTTGACTAATCTTATCATTAAAATCATATTCAAAAGTGAATCCTTGCAGCCAAGGACAGTTACAAACATTAACAATTATCATCTCCTAACTCTCCATTATTTTTCTGTTCTTACCTCCCCCTACCTTTACACTTTCCAAGGGTGCAGTGTGAAACAGCAAGTGAAGTCAACACATATGATCATGAAGAAACAATAGAAAAAGAAACCACACCATTTCTTAGTACTTTTTTGCATTAAAAAATAGGGCAATTTTTATTTTGTTAGAATTATGTGCACTGGTATAAGAACTTATTTCTCTTTAAATGGATTAGTGAAAATGCAAACTTATTAGAACAGAGGAAATATTACTGCAGAAGGGGAGATGCCAATAAGCCTCTGTGTGTGGCAACTCCTGAAACACTTATTTGCATTTCACAGAAGATATCCCAGTAACAGTGATACCAGAGTTGTAAAAAAAAAAAAAAAAAAAAGGGAAAGCCCATATACATGTTTATTTTTTATTATTTTTATTTCATGTGTATGGGTGTATTGCCTGCATGTGTGTAAGTGCACCTGCATAATGCAATGCCTGCAGAGGTCAGAGGAAGGCATCAGATCCCCTGGAACTGGAGTTACGGAGGGTTGTTTATGCCATGTGGGTGCTGGGACTCAAACCCAGATCCTCTGCAAGAGCAATCAGTGCTCTTAACCATGGAGTCACCTCTCCAGTCCCATATTTTTGTTTATAAGCACAATATACATAGGAGGATATTAGGTATTAATCCTTACTTGCTAAGTACCATCGGGAAACAAATATTTTACCATTGATATTATTTTGTTCTTTACTTATTAGTTCTTTGAGAATTTCATAGGATGTATTTTGATTATATTCATCCCCTAAAGTTACCAAAAGAATATCACTGTCAAGTTAAGTTATATACATGGAGGCAGACTTTCTCAGTATCATTAAATTTTCTCAACATCGTGGCTTAGGAATAAAAAAAATAGGCAAAATGCTAAAAATCAAGGATCAAAAACATGTTAGATATTCTATTTTAAGAGCACCAAGAAATTACAGGTTACCATAAAGGCATTCATTAAAAAGTGTGACCTTTGGACAATGTGCCATCGACCAGGGCTTCTGAAATTGGGAGATTTCAACAGAAACCACTTTTAAGTGGTGAGCTTTCTGCATACGGCCACACGATTTCTGTCGTTTGCAAATAGGTTTTTCTACTGTGGAGATGTGTCAGATGACACTGGGATTTGGTTTCATTTTGTTTTGGTACCCACTTCCTGCTTGTCAGAGTGGGCCCAGGGGTCAACACAAGTCAGTCTCAAACCTTTCCTCCCCTGGAGATTTGCGACCTGACAGTGGGAAAACCATCCTGAACCATTGTGTGACAAATCCTTGACCAGGGGCAGGTTCAGAGGGCTGATGCAAGTAGGATAGAGATAAAAGCCATCCGCTGGAGAGTGAAACAAACCAGCCCCTCTCCCCATGGCAGCTGAACCTCATCTCCCTCCACCTCGCTCTTCTTCATTTGCACTCAGCCAGATGCAACTGAGGTTTTCAACCCCAATTCTAAGAAAAGCTAGCTTCTTGGCAAATCGAGATGGTGGTCTGGGCAGCCCCAGAGAGGACGGGGGGATTAAAGGGTGCTGGAGAAAGTAGAAGGTTGAGAACAGGAGGGTGCGGTGTTGGGGGGGTAGGGGGGAATGAGGCAAGGCAGGCGGCATTGTTAGCCCCAGGATGGGGGACCGAAGGGAAGGATGGGCCCAGCAGTAAAGCTCAGTTTAATCAAAGTATGGGGTAGGCAGAAAAAGAGCCGGCCAAAGGAAGGCAGAAGGGAGAGGAAAAACCAAGAGTGGAGCTGTGGTGGGGTTTCCCCACGCCCCGAGGCCTACTCATGGTATCAGCAGCCCTCTGGTCGGTCCCGGACTGCAAGGGGGCCACGCCGCGGCCCTCCCGGTTCTTCCCCTACTTCAGTCCGGGGCCCACACAAAGAAAGCCGGAGGAGCCGAGCCTTCGACTCTGCCACTTCCTGGTTCAAGTGAGGCGAAGGCAGACGGAGGCGCGGCCCGCAGCGCAGCGGAAGGCGCAGGCGGGCTGCTTCTACCCCTCCCGGATCCCAGCCGGCTCCTCACCTGCTTCCAGGCGCCGCCGCCGCTTTCTCTTAAGGCCGCGGAAGGGTCAGAATCCGACAAGAAGCCGGACTCCCCGGCGATTCTGCTGCTTCTTTAAACGTCGCTCCAGTCTTGGTCGACGTCGACACAGCCGCTACTGCTGCCCTACGCCGCCAACAGAAGGCACCGCGCGGAGGCGAGGCGCCGAAATCCGAGGCGCCCTCCTCTTCCGAGCGCAGTCCGGGTCTGTCCGGAAGGGCCCGAGACCTAGGCAGCTGGGCTTCAGCACCCAGCTCTGCTTTCGGCTCTTTCCGTGAGCGAGTAGAGGAAGACTGGGAAGTGCTCTAAAGTGTTCGGCTCCTTCCGGAGAGTGAAAGGGTGGGAAAACGGAAAGGGAAAGGACTGGTAAAGCTGGTTGGAGTAGAAGGGAAGTTAGCCGCCTTTATTTAAATTCAGTGTAAGCCTCCAGGGCTTAAAAACTTCCAGAGACTGTGTGGCGTTCCTTTCTTTTGCAAGTTTGAATTCTGTTCTATGACCTTGTTTCTTAGATCGCAAACCACCTTGAATATAATCTGCATAATAAAATTTATTAACTCAGAATAATTCATGTTCTAGGATAAATTACAGTAGGTACTTAAAAAAATTTGCTATAATTTTAATGTACTTTTAAGAAAGAAACCTAGTGTTTGGACAAGTACTGTCTTGTTAACTGAATGCTAAATGGTGAAATACTTTGTTAACTCCGTTTCTACTAACATACTGATCACGAGTTTGATCTGCAGCAAACTGTATATGAGGCCCTGCGGAATAGAAAGGCAAATAAGCAGAATCTCTCCCCTTTCAGAGGGTTCATCAGCTAGGCATATAAATATGGATAAAAGTATTTTACAAGGCATAGAGTCACAGAGAAAAAAAAACCCCAAATATTGCCATGTGTGCTGTATCTTGAGAGGTAATATTTATTATTATTACTATTATTATTTCCATAGCATTTTGTCCAGAAGCATTTGGCGTCTGACACTTAAATGTTGGTGATTGTTTAATAACTAGGTTAGACAACTGAATAAAATTCCATTGTGTTATAGGCACCACATTTTCGTTATCCATTCATAACTTGATGAACATCTGGGCTGTTTCAATGTCCTGGATATTGTGAATAGTGAGGCAATGAACATGGATATGCATGTATCTATAGAGTCCTTTAGGTATATGCCCAGGACCAGTATAGCTGGGTCACATGGTAATGAATAAGTTATAAATTATATAATCGTGTGTATTTGTGTATGTGTGTGTGCACATGTGTATGGAGGCCAGAGATCAACATAGGGTATCTTCCTTAGACACTCTCCACATCTTTTGAGATAGGATCTCTTAATTAACTTGGAGCTCACACTCATCAGTGTGGATAGGCTGGCTGGCAATCAAGCCCCAGTAATCCACCTGTCTCTGCCTCTCTGACTCAAGGATTACAAGTTCATGCCTCCTTGCCTGCTTTTTACATGTGTACTGGGGAAAAGAATGAAGGTACCTTATGTTTGCATGGTAAGCACTGTATTGACTAAGCTATCTCCTCAGGCTTTATAGATTATATAACTTAAAAAATTCTATGGCAACAAATTCCCGAGTAAATATCATGATGAATGAAGCTACAGGATTTGGAGAGCAACCATTCAGGCTGGTTATTGACCACATTCCACGAGGGAGCCAAATAAAACTTTTCCTGCAGCAGTTAATGACATTTACTAATTTCATTTCTTTCTTAAAGATGTGTATAAGGTAATACTGAAAATATTTAAACAACTTTAATTTTCACTTATTTCCCTGTCCAGTGGAATTCCTATTCTTTTTTTCTTCAATGTTCCTGCCGAAATGTCTATCTAATTATTCTGGTGTGAAAATGAATATCTATTTTTTTTCAGTAGGAAATCAAATTTGGGTGATCTAATCTATCTCTATTCTACATTCTCAAAGTTAAAGGCACATAGTAAAACATCAAAGTGGTTGGCAATACTTTATTTTCACTTGGAAATTTAAAATTCCTTAAGCGTGTCTCCAAGATTTTATATTGTGTGAGAGAAAGAAACTATGTGGGGAATTACCATGTTACTGCTTCTTATTTGGACTCAAAATGAACATTTCTTTGGTTAATATAAATACATTTCTCAGTAAATAGGAGTGTAGTGTTGTAAGATATAGGCAGACTAGTATTTTGTTGGCAATTAAGCACCTAACAAAGCTAATTAACAGATCAGTGATCGTTTTTGAGTTATCACCCCCCCCCCTCCAAAATTAAGTAGCAAGAAAGCTTAGAAAATAAGGCAAAGTATATCTGGAAAGTTCTAGAATCCACATCTCAGTAGCTTAATTGGCTGAAACTAACATGAGGTGTTTCTTTGAAATGAAGATCATGGTATCTGTAGATGTCACTCTTGATGTCACACCTGTTAATTATCTTTCAGTAATTTGTAAGGCACCATATAATTTGTTTGGAAGTAGTGTTAATATTGCCCAGGCCACCAACAGAATTGCTTTGCCTTTGTCCCTATTGTAGGAGGGCATTAAAAACATAGAAACCCAACTGAAGCATCAACCTCTCAGCTCAAAGCACAGGAAGCATTTTCCATTTTGGTTGTGCCCCTCAATTCTAAACCACAGCAACCAAACCAAAACAGCTACCTGTAAAGAAAGAACAGGTTAGGGCCTCCCAACCTTGACTTGATAGGCCTTAACATATTTGATAGAATGCATGAAATCTGTGAGTGGGCTATGGGGGTGCAGATAGGGGAGGGGGTGTAACTATTAAGATACATTGTATGAAATGCACAAAAATTCAATAAAAATATACATTCAAAAAGAAAGACCAGGGAGGTAATTTTATTTGGAAGAAAGCAGAACAGACTAAGAAACTTGGCTGATGTTAATAATTATCTTTGGGAAAGACTTACTGGAGTGTTCTGATTCTCAATGGGCTATTTCAACCTTTACTTTCTCTTTATCTGAGAGTTTAACCCAACTTCAACCTTGTACATTTTAAAGAGAAGAATTTATATCAAATAGATTTGGAGGTGATAAGTTCACATTCTGGAAAGGTTTTTTGATTGACTGATTATGGACAGTTAATTTTTATAACCACATTGTGAATGTTTGCTTGCCTTGTTTAAACTTGGCTATTAATTCCACGAGAGCAGTAACTGCCCTATCCTGTGTTAAAATGCCAGGAATCTTTAGGTGCTTAATATATATTTATTGATAGTGATAGAAAATAATGAAGTTATATTCATTCAGTTTCAAAGCCCTTTCTCTGAGTTATGCTTAGGGACACATATTTTGTGAGATTATTATAAATGCTGAGAAGAAACTCCAGTAAGGTAGAGTAGAAAAAGCAATGTCAAGAGGACAAGTTGTGAATGGGTTGGGATTTGGGTTTTGCCACTTGATCTGTAATTTGGAGCCGTATTCTTCCTCTGTAAAATAAGGCTAATGATACTTTCTGTGCTGGATAGATTCAGTTGTCAACTTGACACATCTGGGTAGGGGAACCTCAATTGAGGAATTTCTTCCATTGGATTGGCCTGTGGCCATGTCTTTGGGGAGTTTTCTTGATTGTTGAGTGATGTGAGAAGGCCCAGCACACAGTAGGTGGTGTCACTGCCGGCAGATGGTCCTGTGTTATATCAGAAAGTGGGCTGAGCATGGGTCAGAGGAACAAGCCAGCAAGCAGCGAATCTCTATGGTTTGTCCTTCAGGTTCCTGCCCTGAGTTCTTGCCTTGGCTTCCCTTGATGATGTCTTGATTGTGAGCTGTAAATCAAATAAACCCTTTCTTCCCTAAGGTTGTTTTGGTCAGTGTTTTATCACAGCAATAGAAAGTAACAAGAGCACCTTCCCATAAATTTCTTTTCAGAATTAAATGAATTGGGAGATGGCTCAGGGGCTAAGAGCACTGGCTGTTCTTGTAGAAGACCCAGGTTCGAATCCCAGCACCCACATGGCGACTAACAACCATCCATAACTCCAGTTCCAGGGGATCTGACGCCCCCTTTGGTCCTCTTTGGGTACTGCACAACATGGGTGCACTTACACACATGTAGGCATAACATGCATGCACATAAAATAAAAATGAAAAAATTAAATGAATTAACTCTGTGTGATGTCAAACAGTTTATAGTTTTCGGAATACAACATGATTTTTTAAATTTCTTCTGAGTTTACAATTCAAAGTTTGAGCCTGGATTAGTCATTTCCCTTGTTTTCACATCTCCTGTTTCCTGTTGTCTGTCAGTTGTCTGGTCTTCTATAAAGACCTAACTCAAGCATCAATTTATTTTTGAAGCCTGCCTTGGTCCAATAAATGGTAGGTGGATATGGTGACTTAATCCTGAATGACTGAGCCTAATAAGTGCTAAATCTATGCTATAACCTATAGTTATCATCCAAGCCATAATCCCAGTCTTCATGAAACTTACATGCTAATAATAGGAGGGACATAAAATAAAAACATATGTATATATAATTTAAATACATAATATCAATAAGAAATGACATGAAAAATAAACAGGGAAAAATAAAAGGATAGAAAATGCTGAGGGTCCTATTATAGCATATTCATGCATAGCCACTCTGAAAAGGTGATTTATAAACAAAGAATGAAATGAAATAATGGAAAGGGACAGGGAATGTCTGCAGAAAGAGCGTTATGCAAAGTGATACCTTCCAATGTCCTTCAATCAATTACTGTACCCATAGTTCACAGGTTGGATTTATTATTATTTTTCAGGGAGGGAAAACATACACTAGAGGAAACTGGATTTCTCAATAGGAGGATGCTAGAAGAAACCTATTAGTGCTTGTCTCACTGGTGTATCCATGTAATCCCAGATCCTTAAGAGCCTGAGGCAGGAGGGTCACAAGATTGAGGCCTACCTGGGCTACAAGGCCAGTTCAAAGCCAACCTTGGCTACTTAGCAAGACCTCAACACAAAATGAAGATTTAAAAAGATATTGGGATGTAACAGTGGTAGAGCACGTTCCTTGATTTTAAACTCCAGTACCAAGAAAACACCATTAGTGAGTTTAGGCAATTTGGAAACAGGTCTCAAAATATATGTTCACTCAGGTGACCTCAGAAAGCAGGGGCAATTGTGTGATTGCCTGTGCTGGATAGCTTCAGTTGTCAACTTGACACACTTTGGTGGAGGGAACCTCAACTGAGGAATTTTCTCCATTGGACTGGCCTGTGGCCATGTCTGTGGGGCATTTTCTTGATTGATTGACAGGTAGGGAAAGCCCAGCCCACTGTGGGTGGCGCCACCCCTGGGCAGATGGTCCTGTGTTGTATAAGAAAGCAGGCTGAGCAGGGGCCAGAGGAGCAAGCTGGTAAGCAGCAAACCTCCACGGTCTGTGCTCTAGATTCTTGCCCTGAGTTCCTGCCTTGCCTTCCCTTGATGATTGACTATAAGCTGTAAGCCAAGGTGGTTTTGGTCAGTATTTTATCACAGCAATAGAAAGTAGCTAGAACAGCTAACAGTAATTCTTATCTATAGGTGGTACCCACTTAAGTAGGACAAACTGATTAGGAAAATAGCAGTCACCTATCTTTGCATAAAAGGGAGCATTCGTTTTCTGTGTGGTAACCTTGTTTTTTGTCCATACACAGGCAAAATAGTCTTATTTAGTCTTGCTTGGTCATTTTCCCATGATTTTGCATGAGGTTGGTGTCCTGTGGGTTTATGTGTAACAACAACAACAAAAACATGCCAAGTTGTAAATCATAACCAGTGTCTATCCAAAGTCCACTTTCTCAAACAGCAAGTAAGAACCCTTAGACTACAAAGAACAACTTTTAAAAGCGTGTGTGAAAGGGGACAACAGTGGCTATCACCTCTCTTCAGTAGAAAGTAGTCATGGGGGTTGAAGATGTAGCCCAGTGGTAAAAGCTTTGCTTAGCATGTGTAAGGCCCTGGATTCAATGCACAGCAACACACACACACACACACACACACACACACACACACACACACAAATTCATGAATATCTCTGATCTGGATCATGGTAGCATATGCTTGTAATTCCAGCATTTGGGAGACTCATTCAGCAGGATTATAAGTTAGAGGCCAGACTGGATATAAGGTGAGTCTGGGATAGCCCGGGCTACAGGGCAAGAGCCTATCACAAAACAAGTAGTAATTTAATACAAAACTTAAAAACAATTAATTTTTAAAATTTTTTATGTTGGATGAGGGGCACATTCCTGCCACAATTCATGTGTGGAAGTCAAAGGCTCTTGTGGGTTCTAGGGATCGAACTCAGGTTGTCAGGCTTTTTAGCAAGTGCCTTTACCAGCTAAGTATCTTCCCATCCCCAGCATTATCAGTATATGGGACATACCTGTATTAAAACATTATTTGTTCCTTATTTGAAATTCAAATGCAAGCAGGCCTAATGAAGGCCCAATATTCTTTTTTGCTGAATCCACCAGAACCAAAATAAACATACCATTAGTTAATAGGATTCTCTGAATTTGTGTAGGAAATACTTTGTCCCTTTTCTTATAATAAAAATTTCCTTTTCACTCATGTTGATAAAGATAAATGCAGTTTCATGTGCCATTCCTATGTAGGAGAAGTTATGTCAAAAATGACAGAATAGGAGCTTTTAGTGTTCATATACTTGAAGAAGTTGGAAATGACCAAGCATCCACTTAACTTCACAGGAGTTAAATCAACAAGGTGGGAGATTGAGTGGAGCATAGAAATAAAATAGACATTTTAATTTACCTGTCTACTCATGCTTGTGATGTTTTGTTTTTATTTAAAAGTGTATAGTACAAATAAGGCACTTAGGATGACACCTGGCAAACAATAAATATCCTGTATAACTACTACTTACAAATAATTTATTTTTTTGATAGGATCTCCCTCTGTAGCTATGGCTGGTTTTTCATACAGCATTATTATTCTATAGGACATATTTATACTAAAATTATTCCTTATTTGAAATACTCATTTGAAATTTATTTGAAATATTACTGTATTTTTAATTTTATTAATTTGAATTACTATATTTCCTTTTGCTGAATTTGTTAAAACTCAAATAAACACACTGCTAGTTATGCAGAAATCTCTGAATTTGTGTAGGAAATATTTTGAATGCTTTTTCCCTTTTCCCCATTCTTTTTTATTTTTATTTTTTAGTTTTAAAAAACAATAATTTATTGAGAATTTCATACATGCACATAAGGTGTTTTGAACAAATCCATGCCCACCACCTCCCCTCCAACTCCTCCCATATCTCCCCATAACTTTTTTCTGATAACTTCATGTATTTGTTCTTCCTCTTTTATTATTATGATTTTTTATGGGGCTTTTGACTACTCTAACATTCCCCCCCTCTGAAGAGGTAACCCTAAAATCTTTTAACGATTAGATAAACTCTCCCAAATACTTTGGACATTTTTGGTCTTTGGAACAGAGTATGTTGCTAAGAGGCCTAATGACATTGTGACTTTTAGCCAAGAAACTGGCTATTTTTCTTTGGGGTCTTTTTACCCTAACTGCCTAGCCAATTCCTACCTCTTATTCTTATCACACCATCCTCTGAAGAGGTTACCCAAATTGCCAACAGGGAATAGGGACACAGATTGCTCTGGCTTCTTCCATGCTGAACAGGGACACAGGGTGAGGCAACTGGAGTACCCCTTCAGTGGGTCTATCTAAAAGACCCCCAAATCATGTAACTCTTATCTGTATGGGGAAAAGAAAATCCTTGACTGATGAATAGGAGAGGTGAAGGAGAAGTAAAGGCAAGAGTAATTAGCATTACAAGTTCTAGACAGGGAACTAGAAAAAAAAACAGGGCAAATTTCAAATGTTCATACCAGAGTCCATTGAATTTCTTGACAAGGGCTTCCAAAAGCATCCCTCTATTAGGTTCCTCCTCGTCTTCCAAGGCTAACTCCAGAGTGGTGGATTCAGGATTTGCTTTCAGGTATTTGACAGCTGTTGGAGAGGTTAGATTCAGTGTCAGTTCCCTCTCAAAGGCTCCTAGATAGAGGGGAGAAAACAAATTTATCCATAGCTGGTTGCCTCCCTTAGCTACAGGTGGGCACTACAGTATTGGAGGCCAAGATTTGAAGTCTTACACCTGAGCAGCACTTTCTGGTTGGGAACAAAATCATCAATGAGAAATAATTGCCTAAATAACTTTTTATATAGACTTAAGCCTAATGTCTGGGAAGTGTAATCCCTTGAACTGTTAAATACGCAGGTAGCTTTACCCTTTGTTTATACTTTCCTTTTGGGTGTTTAATACCATATAGTTGGCCCAAATATATTAATTTATTTTCACACTTAAGGTCATTTGAGGATCTGTTCCTCAGGGGTCATATGGGATTGGGAGGAGCCCCTGGCTCCTTTCTTTTGCCAGTTCCATCTATGTGAATAGAAGTCAAAGTCCTCTTCCACCATTTCTGGGTTCACTTGGAAGCATGGATGAAACACCTTTTCCCCATTCTTATTAAAAATTTCCTTTTCATCTAGATAGATTCAGAAAAAAATATGTAATTCGATGTGTACCATTCCTATTTAGAATGTATATGCACATAACTATGCATATTATATGTACATACATGCTGCACAGTAAGTATCTAATATTATAAAATATATAACACACATTTATGGAAAGCACCAGAAACAACAGCAGAACTAACTGTGTAGTTGATATGGGCACTCTGCAAAGTTTTTACTTCACATTGGTCCACCCTCTTGCCCTTTAGTTCTTACAGGCGTTGGAAGCTGAGAAAAAAGTGGTTTCTAGTTCAGTGGTTTCTGGCTAGCCAAGTGAGGAACCTAAAGATGAGTGGAATTGCTTGTCATGCGGGTTGTTTACACTGATGCACACACCCTTTGGCTTGGCTGGAGGGCCGGGTAGACCTGGGGAAGACTTTAGCTGATGTACATGCGATGGTTTCCTTAGCTTTGGGCGACTCTTCCCCGCGGTTTCGTGAGCCGCCGTAGCCAGAGGCTGGTGAGTGTGTGTACTGCTTTGGTAACTGCGATATCGCCAGGGACCTGCTCCACGGTTCTGGGGAGGAGAACCTGGGCTTACAGGGAAACGTCCCAGTAGCTGGGAATGAAAGCCCAACCGATCCTCCTCCTTCCCAGCGAGGCCGCAGCTCAGCTCAGCTCCTGGCTGGCGGGGTTGCGAATTTGTTGTTATGATGAGACCATTAGCAGGAATGATTCCCTGCCTTGGGCAGTCTCTTCCTTTCAGACTCTTCTGCTTACCCTCGGCGGGAGAGGAGCCCAGGCAACACCGCTTGGGCAAGGAGGTGGAGCTCAGTCTGGCTTAGGTTGATGAAAAGCCTGCGTCTTCACACTGAGACCTCTTATCTTTGGTCTCTTTACATTTCCGTCGTTCCCCCATTTTCGACCTTGTTTTCAATGTATCCACGAAAGCGTTTTCCTTTTCTTACTGGCCCTTTTTCTCCCTTACAGTCTCACCCATTCTTGCGTGACTTTCGTGGGTACGTAGGTTCCCCTCCTCCTCCTTCTGTCTCAGGTATTAAATGTGGTTAAGAGGAGAAGACCTAAATGTGCCATTATTCGTTTTGTGTTATCGTTTGGGACCATATTCTTTAAAAAAATTATTTTATGTGTATGAGTGTATTGTGTCGTGCAGTGCAGAAGAAGGCTATGGATCCCACTGTGGAGTTATGGACAGTTGTTAACTGCTATGTGGGTGCTGGGAATTGAACCTGGGTTCCCTGCAAGAGCAGCCAGTGCTGTTAACCACTGAGACATCTCTCAAGCCCCCAGGACTATATTCTTTTTAAGTTGAATTTAGTTGTTTCGTTTTTGAGATAGGTGTCCCCATGTAGCTCAGGCTGGCTGCTACCTAGCTTTGTAGTCCAGGCTGGCCTTCAACTCCTGCTTTTGCCTCTAGAATGCTGGGATTATAGGCTTGTGCCATCAAGCCCAGCAGTGAGCTTACTTTTATTTTCCACTACACTGAGTTCCTGAAAGAAAGAGTCCTATTTTATTCCGTACAGAACTTGCAGTACCTGACACTTAATAGGTGTTCAACCATTGTGTGTTGCACTTGGCACATAGTAGGCATTCAACTATTGTGTATTGAATGTATGAACAGACTGTTGAGATGGTAACAGGTTGTGTAAATGGAAATTCTTTGTGATGTTGAGATCAAGGGCTTAAGTTGGAAAGGAGAAAAACTTTCCTCTGAGACAATACAATTAGATGAATGTAGGAAAAGTGATGTGTTAAACTGCATACAGTATTACCTTGGGACAAATTTTGTTGTGTTCTCAGTCCTGAGCTTGAATAAGAGAGTGAAGTCAATTTTTCTTTAATGAGAGTGATTGCTGGAATGGAAGAATATATGATGGAGAAGGAAGATAGTTGTAATTATTATTGTATAAGTAATTATTCATAAGTATTTATACCTAATAGTCATTGGGCATCAGATAAAATCTTAAGTGCACTATATGGTAAAAAATGCAAAGGAAACAGATATTGAGTAACAGGGTGAAATTAATGCATCTGGTCTTATTTCTGTGCTCCATGCAGATGCTGTAATTCCCCACCTCATTTCCTCAGCTTCTGTGAAGGTGTGTGGAGAGTTGTTCAAATTCAAGTTTCTTCAATTATGTCAACACTAAAAGTCTTCTCTACCATCTTGCTGATGTCACTTATTTTTCCCAGGCTGCCATTCTCACCTGGCATCCCACTTTCTGTGTTCCACACCAATATGACAGTATTGTTAGAACATTAAATTTTGTGTTTGCATTTATAGTAAACTTTTAAAAAATTATTTAATAACCACATACTTAGAAGCAGCATTTCATTACAACAGCATTGACATATTCAATAACAATTTCCAGAGCTAAGATGCATCTCTTTCAAAATTGGCTGTAAATTTTTAGGTTGACTGTTGAATTAATACAGTTATACAATATTGAACTCAGTATAAACACTGTAAGACATAAAATTGAATGAGTTTTTAACCT